AAGTGTGCATCTCCAACACACCGGTGCTCCTGCTAGTGTAAACACATATCCGCTAGTAGACCGGTGCTTGTCCAGATCCCCCACATAATCAGAATCCACATAACCAATACAATCCTGCCCTGTCTTCTCAGTCTTCTGAAATACCAAACCAACATCTATGGTACCTTTGATATACCGTAGAATCCACTTCACGGCCTCCCAATGACCCTTCCCGGGGTCGTGCATGTACCTAGATACCATACTCACGGCCTGTGATAAATCTGGCCTTGTACACACCATCGCATACATCAAGCTACCCACAACATTAGCATATGGAACTTTGGACATGTATTCCCGATCCTCAACTAAAACAGGTGACATCTTAGCTGATAGCTTAAAGTGGGGAGCTAATGGAGTACTCACCGCCTTGGCATTGCCATCATAACTGAATTTCTTCAGCATCTTCTGCAAGTAACTCCTCTGTGTCAACTTCAACCTCCCCTTCACCCTGTCTCTCTCAATTTCCATACCCAATATCTTCTTTGCTTCTCCAAGATCCTTCATCTTAAATTTGGATGACAGCTCTTTTTTTAACTTTCTAATAGCTGAAGTATTCCTGGAAGCTATGAACATATCGTCAACATATAATAGCAAATAGATATACTCACCATTATGTAGCTTGTGCATGTATACACACGGGTCATATGGGCTCCTCGTGTACCCTCGGCCAATCATAAAGCCGTCGAATCTCTTGTACCATTGTCGTGGTGATTGCTTCAATCCGTAAAAAGACTTCTTCAGCTTGCATACTAATTCTTCCTTTCCTGTAGCTTTGAACCCCATAGGTTGTGTCATGTAGATCTTCTCTTCTAAATCTCCATGTAGAAAGGCTGTTTTCACATCCATCTGGACCAAATCCAAATCCAGCTGTGCTACCAATGCCAATAAAATACGAATCGACGAATGCTTCACAACAGGTGAAAATACCTCGTTGTAATCAACGACCTTTAGCTGTGCATATCCCTTGGCAACCAATCTGGCTTTGAATCTAATTTCCCCAATAGAAGATCCCTCTTTCTTTGCATACACCCACTTGCATCCAATAGCCTTCTTACCCTTTGGTAGCTTTGCAAGTTCCCAAATGTCGTTCTTATGAAGAGACTGCATCTCTTCCTCCATGGCTTCCCTCCACCTATTCGAATCAGAGCTTGACTCTGCTTCCTTGAATGTAAAAGGAACCAAATCATCAACGACTTCTGTTGATAAAGCATATACAACCATGACATCGTTATATCTAGCTGGCCGACGAATGTTTCTTCTTGGTCTATTAGCTGCAATGGACTCCTGAACATGACCCTGTTCCTGAGTCCCAACATCCACTGTATCCTCTAAATGCCCGGCTGTCATCCCATCTCCTCCCAGTATTACCTCTGTAGGAGCCTCGATGGATACAATGCTCTCTGGAGTGGGTGGAGTCACATTATCCTCCACCTGCTGCGATATCTCCTGAATCTGGTCTTCCTCCACCTGCTGAGGAACTTGAGGCTTCATCATGTATGCCTCGTCAAATGTGACATTCCTGCCCATAATTTAAAGCCTTTAACTCCATCTCTAAATCCCACAAAGACTGCTTTCCTCGCTCTCGGATTCAATTTACCATCATTGACATGGTAATAAGCTGGACACCCAAATATTCGAAGCGACTCATAGTCACTAGCTACCGAACCAGACCAACGCTCTAACGGAGTCTTCCCCTGTATCGCAATGCACGACAACCTATTCACGAGATGGCTCGCATAAACCAACGCTTCGGCCCAAAAGGATCTTGACAATCCACACTGCGTCATCATACATCGCACCTTCTCCAGTAAGGTACGGTTTAATCTCTCAGCCACCCCGTTCTGTTGCGGTGTCTCACGTACTGTGAAGTGTCGCCTAATGCCGTGATCCCGGCAAAAGTGCAGAAATGGATCACTCTTAGACTCTCCCCCATTATCTGAACGTAGAGTCTTCACATTTCTACCTGTCTGTAGCTCCACTTTCTTCTTCCACTCCATAAAAATATCCAGGACCTGATGTTTATGCTTCATCGGGTATACCCAATTTCTCCTGGAATAGTCATCAATGAAAGTGATAAAATAGTTGGCCCCACCAAGTGATGTGTGCTTGGAAGGGCCCCAAACATCTGTGTGCATATAGTCCAATATACCTTGGGTATTGTGAATAGCGGTGCCGAATTTCACTCTTGTCTTCTTTCCAAGTATGCAATGTTCACACAGCTCCATCTTACATGTCTTCGCACACTTCAATAGCCTCTGCTTCACCAATACCTGCAGGGACTTATCACCATGTGTCCCAATCTCATATGCCATAAACTGGTAGTATCTTCCTCTGTGGTAATCGAAGCTGTCAGACCCCCTGTTACTGTCTTGCCCTTCAAGTAGTAAATGTTGTTTTCCCTGACACCTCGCATCACCACCATGGATCCCTTTGTGAACTTCAGAGTCGCATTCTCCAAGATCACCTTATAGCCAGTTGCCTCCAAAGTTCCAAGCGAAATGATATTCTTCGTCAATTAAGGAACGAATCTCACTTCCTTCAGCTCCCGAGTCACTCCGTCACACACCCGAATCTGTACTGTACCAATACCACCAATAGGTCATACGTGATCATTACTCATAAGCACGACATCCCCTCTTTCCAACTCCTCAAAGCTGGAGAACTAATCTCTCCTAGGGCAAATATGGTATATAGCACCAGAATCCATCATCCACTCCGTAGAGTCAGCGTAACAAACTGACGGTAATGCAGAGAAAGAATAGCCCGAAGAATCCGTATCTGAATTGTCGTCACTAGCCTTGACAACATTCACTTCCGAAGCTTGTACAGCTTTCCCTTTATTCTTCCCAGCTTTATCTTTCAACTTTGGGCAGTCGTTTTTCCAATGTCCTTCTTCTTTGCAAAAGCGACATTGATTCCTACCAACACTCTTATGGCCACCTCTATTCCTCGATTTTGAGCGGTTGAACTGACAACGGTTTGGATCACGGCCTCGAACTTCTAATGCATCTCCCGATGCCTTCTCGGAGGGTTCGTCATTACTCTTCTTCAACTCATAATTCACCAAAGCTGAGGTCACCTCCTTATAGCTAACCGTAGTTCTTCTATTTATCATAGTGAGAACAAACGTACCAAAATCATCCTTCGGCAACAAAGACAATAGTAGCATCACCTTGTCTTCATCCTCAACCATGATATCTACATTGGCCATATCCCAAATTAGCTTCGTGAAGTTGTTAACATGCTCCCGAATGGAAACTCCCTTCTTCATATTGAATTGGTAAAACCTCTTCTTCAAGTGAAGCCGATTCTTAATGCTCTTCGTCAGATACTTCTTATTGAGTGTTTCCCACATTCTCTTCGCCGACGTCTCGTTCATTACGTCATAAATAAGATCCGGCGTCAAGCATGACAGAATAACTCCACAAGCCCTACTATTCATCTTCTTCCAAACCTTGTCCTCCACATCAGCGGGTTTCTCTTGTAACTCAAGAGTCTGCTCTAAATTTTGAGCGCCCAAGGCGTCCATCATCTGACACCTCCACAATCCGAAATTAATCTTGCCGTCGAACTTCGGAACATTAATCTTCATGTTATTGATGCTCAAACTATGTATCGTCTTCGTAAGAGACGATCCCGATGTGCTTGTTTCACCCATGTTGTCGATCTAATCTTCAAATAGGAATCCTTCAGCGAATCCTTCAAACAAGCTCCCAAGTCCAACCCGGAGCTCTGATACCACTTGTTGTGCATAGCGAAAATTTCGGCAGCACCTCCGGTGCGCAATGTGCACAACAAGAGATTAGATCACAATGAAATTCTCGTTTCTCAAAGAAAACAAGAACCAAAATCCAGATATCTCATCAAAGTGAGATATCAGCTCTTCCTCTCGTCAGCTCTAGGACTGCGCGTCGAGAGAACCTATAAGCTATTACAAATCACGGCAAGAACACAAATTTTACGTGGTTCGGCAAATAGCCTACGTCCACGGGGCAAGGAGGGGGAGATCTACTATTAGAGGGAAAGATACAATTGGGTTTACACTCTCACAAATAAAACCCTCTCACAAACTCTCAGATCCCTCACACAAAATCTCTCTCAAAAGGGACAAACACTTTTTCTCCTGCAGCGTTTTACCCTGTTCTTTTGTACACAAAAACAGTCGCAGCCTAGCCGCAAAAAAAAATCTCCTGCCGATTTTTTTCCTTTTCTTTTTCAAAGCTCTCTGCCTGCTCCGTAGCCAGAAAAATCAGCAGCCAATTTTGCCTCCTGCACTTGCTTCCCAAAAACCTAAAAATCACAATCATATATATGATGTATATTCGGGTGGGCCTTGGTAATTCCGTTTAATTTCTAACAAAAAATGCATTATTACAAAATAATTCGCCCCCACTGGGGTAAAAATGATTGGTGTTTACATCTGTAACTTTGGTTGGTGCATCACTGAGATGATCACATCTAGGCCAATCCAATATAAATCGTCAATATATCAATATCATGGTTGATGGCTTGAAAGTTTGTCACTTTAGTGATTCATCAACCAAGACTCATGTGATATGCTAGCTTCGGTTTGATCCAAAAGTATATTCAAAATTTCTTGTTCAGTTTAGTGATGAAATAGAATGATATTTTATGATGAATCACGAAAAAACTAGTGAATCTATGAACAAATATCCCGTAATAATCTATTTTAGACAGAGACTTGATTGCTTTTTAAAAAAAAAACTACCAATGAATTTTATAATTATACAGACGTAAATTATCTTTGCAATAGTTTTTAAAACTAGTCAAAATTTGGAATACTACTTTCATGCAATTTAAGCATTCATTTTTTGGGTGAACACTAGAATGCAAATACCTCATTAATTAGCCTTATCTCTTATGTAATGTGTGATTTTCATATCTATATTCATAAGGGCTTTAAGTATTTACACAATTATATTCATGTAAACAGGTTGCAGAGCAATTGATGATTTTGTATGAAGATTGTCTTCACGGCAATTATGAGACAAAGCTAGTTTTGATTTAATTCTCCTCCTTCAACATTCGTACGGCTTCTCCTCTTGTTTCTTCAATCAAACCCATTTTTTTATTCCTAATGAGCTTGTTATTTGCTCCATCTATAAGTTTCCTTTTTTTTTTGCCATCTATTTCTAGTTTCATTCCAAGTTGGCGATGGATGAAAAGAAATTTGGATATGTTTAATAAATAAATAAATATGAAATTCAGATATGATGTTTGAATTTTTCTTGGGGAGGGTTTAATTAACTCTCAAGGACAATTTAAAACTGAATAAATAGACTTTAAATTATAAAAGAGTTCAGTGAAAATGTGAGTTTAATATATCCTTGATCAGGCGATCCAAAGCTATCAATGATATTGTAAAGAATTATTGTGGCAAAGTGATACAGAGAAGTGCTGGATTGAAGCAATGATGACTAAAGTGGGAAGAAAAATAAAAATAATGCCCTGTTAATTAATAAATAAATAAAATCCTATTTTAGGAGTACCGAAGCAAATCTCATTTTTTTATTGTGAATCTTGACAAAGATTCACGTACTAGATTTGAGAGATTCAAATATCTTAAAACAATAGTTTTTTGTGTCCAATATTGTATGTAAAAGAGAATATATGAGTATACAGATTTAGTAGAACCTATTTGTAATATTTTAAGGAGGTTGTTTGTAATTTTTAAATTTCTCAAAATATTGGATTTTTACTAGGTTGTTTGTACATTACAGATTTTTCAATCTTTTTTTTGTAATTTTTATATTTTTAAAGGGTTGTTTGTAATTATTTAATTTTCAGGAGTATGTTTACAATTTTCAGGTTTTTCAAGGCAGCTTCATGTAATTTTCTTATTTCAAGGGCATGCTTGTAGTTTTCAAAAATTTCAAGGAAATATCTGTAATCCTTAGATTTTTCATATGTCTGTTTGTATTTTTTAGATTCTTTAGAGCTGCTTGTAATTTCAAAAAATTTCGGGGATATTTGTAAATTTTAAAATTTTCTACAGTTCTTTTGAAATATTTGCATTTTACAAGGGTTGTAACTTTGGATTTTCAAGAGGCTATTTGTAATTTTCAGATTTTTGAAGGATTTATTTGTAATTCTTAGATATTCTATGGGATTGATTGTAGTTTTCTATTTTTTGGGGGGTTGTTTATAATTAACAAACTTTTGTGGTTGTTGATATTTCAAGGGTTTATTTGTAATTGTTAGATTTTTTTTAGTACAGAGTGGAAGAGATATGGTGGTAGTTAAAATTTATCTTTTTTGACATGTTATACCATAAATTAAAAATCTTTTCGATTGCTAAAATTTTCAGGCTAATAACTACATTCTTTAAGTTTTAACTCCCTCTTCGCAACCTCAAACCAAACGAGCTATAAGATATAAAAATTGAAAAGTGACGACATATGCTACTGTATTAGATTGATTCTCGTGTCTAGACTACTAACCTTCATCTTATAAGAACAAGAATTTGAAGGTAACAAATTTTGGTATAAGTCTCAAAGGGACCCATCCAATCACTTTCCAAGTATCAAACAAGAACAATGAAAAATAGAGTCACTTTTCAATTTTTCCATTTTTCCCTATTAGCAAATGAAATGTGATGGAAAGCGATTGAAAAGTGGAGGTGCCGCGAAACCCTTCTCACTCATTTCATTTTTAAAAAAAAATGGATGGAAAGTGGATTTTGAGGAAGAAGAAAATAATATTTTATTTTATGTCTTGAATTAATCGTTCTCTTTTTCCCCCTTTATTGTAAACATTTTGTCCTAAGCGTGAGGAATATTCTCTAGACCGGATGTTATTTTTTTTCCTTCATGCTTCTCAGGTGTATTCATTGCGGTCAACGGTAACAAGATTTGAAACCTCATGTTTAGAAGATGATAAACTTTGTATTTGTAGGAGGGACTTAAAGTCGTAGCAAAACCATTGATACAACAGAGAATTTGTTTCATTCTTACTCATGGAAGGTCTATGGGTAATTTTCGCTGAAAATATTGGAATACGTTTGCATATTCTATTCTTCACTATAAGAACATGATGAATGGGCATATTGATTTTTCAATGAAAGTTTAGGGATGGTTCAAAATAATATCAAAGAATATCAATTGCGTCTTCTTACATTCTTAACCAATTAAGAAATAAACAAACATGTGTTTTATGGAATAAAAAAAAACGCGAATTGTCACGTCAACTACCATCTCAACTTTTCACATTTGCACTCTCAAATTGTCTTTAAAATTTTTAAATAGAAAATAAAGAGAAAGTACTTCTCTTCTCTTCATAAATCCTGGTACATTTTTTTTTGCCAAACATACTCGAGTTATTAGTTGAGTATTGTTGATTCACACTCAGTCTTTTTCTTGGATTTCAATTTAGGATGTCATTCATTTTGGATTTGAATTAGATTTATACTTTAAGGTGTCATTGGTTTAGGTCTAGGATTCAGATTTGAATTTAAGATGCTATTGATTTTGGACTAGGATTTTGATTTGATTTAAGGTGTTTATAGTTGTCTAGGATTGTTACTAGGACTCAGATTTCAAAATCCAAACTCAAATCCAACTCTATATATTATAATAGGCAAAATGGCCAGATTGGTATATTTTTTAGAGGCTTGGTGACATGTTGGTATATTTTCTTTTAGTTTTGTCAGATTGGTATATTTTGTCGACTCCGGCGCCAAATACACCTTAAAAGTTGGCCGGAGTTACTGTTTCGACCAGTGCTGACGGGATTTCTTGTATAAAACCCTCTTATTAAAACTCCATCATGCTCCTAACCCTCGCCTCCTCCTCCCCCTCTCCCTCCTCCTCCTCATCCTCTTCAACCTCCCCCTCTCCCTTATCCTCATCATCCTCTTCCTCCTCCTCCTCATCCTCTTCAACCTCCCTCTCTCCCTCCTCCTCCTAAATTTATCCACAGCTCCTAGTAGCTCAGCTAGCTTCCTGTTTGGGACAATATTATCAGCCTTCATCCTTTTCCTAAACCCATACGCTGGAATCCTTGCGTTCAAGCAACAACTCATGTAATTTCATCCTATTTCTGAATCCAGCTTGCCGTCATCCATTCTCTTTCATGCGCTTAACCAAATCTTCCCCCACAAAATAGAAGTTTATTTTTAGCATATATCCTCAGGAGAGCATCATAGAATTTTGATGAAACTTTATTTCCCAACTTCAATGTTTTCTCAAATACTTCCTCAGCCTTATCTACACAACCACGACGAGGTTTAGCCTCACACACTTTCCAAACCCTCTCAACATCAGAAAGCTTTGTCAAGAGAAGCATATAGAGGGAGAATAAACTTGCAAGTCATGGATTGAATCATTAGATCAGGCCACATTCCCTTAGCTTTCATCTTCTCCACAATCTGTTCGATGCCATGATGATGATCATGATGACGAGGTTTTGTTGAAGAGGATGAGGATGAGGAGGAAGAGGATGATGAGGAGGAGGGAGAGGAGAAGGTTGAAGAGGATGAGTAGGAGGAGGGAGAGGGGGAGGGGGAGGAAGGGGTTAGGAGCATGATGGGGTTGTAATGAGGGGGTTTTATGTAAGAAATCCCATCAGCACTGACCGGAACAGTAACTCCGACCAAATTTAAGGTGTATTTAGGGTCAGAGTCGACGAAATATACCAATATGACAAAACTAAAAAAATATACCAACATGCCACAAAGCATCTACAAAATATACCAATCTGGCCATTTTACCTATTATAATGAGAAATTAACTACAAAAAGTCCAAGTCAAAATTGGTGGATTGCAATCTCACTCCATGGATCTTCTCTCTCCTCTTTTCTTTCCGTATTTAAATATTTAATACATTTTATTTTAAATATATTTAATTTTAAATATTTAGTATTTCTAAATTATTAATTTATTAACACTGAATATATTTAATTTTAAAATATTTATTAATCAACTTCTTTAAATTTATTTTTTTATTCATTTAAAATGAAGTATATTTAATATTATTTGATTACTTAATTTAGTTAATATCTAATATTAAATTAAGTATTTAAATTTTATTAAATATAAAAAATAATTTAAATATTTTATATTATATTACATACTTCTAGTTTTTATTTAAATGTTAGATATGAAATATATTAAAAACATAAATATTATATATGTATATGTATATGTGCGTATGTGTGTGTGTCTATATATATATAATTCTAATGTTAAATAAATATATAATATTAAGCATCGAAAATTTTTATGGTGAAATTTTTTGATATAAAATTTTCTAACTTATACTTACCACTGGTGATCCGCATGGTTTGGAGGTTCTAATGTGGCTCCATGATCCTTAATCTGGTTCCTTGCTGCGATAACAAGATAATTTAATTCATTTAATTCTTACATATTTTAATATACAAATCATTGCCACAACTCTAATTCAAATAGTCTGTGAATCTAAGGTTTAGTCTAAGAATCCATCTAGAAATCCAACGCAAAAGTTAAATTATCATACTAAGTCTAGGGCTTCAGTTAGAAAAATCCTATCACTAATCCAAATCCAAGAATGTCGGATTCTTGGATAATTGTTCTTGTCATACCATACAATCCTGAATGAATAACACCTCCCTAAAGAAAAAGTGCATAAGCTATGTTTGGATTAAGGATTTGTTTTATCCCAGGAGAAAGTTTAGGGATAGTTCAAAATAATATCAAAGAATATCAATTGCATCTGTTGGCCTTCTTGTTTTGATGATGATTTACAAATAATTTACATCTAATGTTGTTTGTCTAGTATTTGTATTTTATATTTATTCTAGGCAAATGATATGTTGGAGGATGAATGGAATTGCGCTTTCACGATCATATCTAATGAAGGTTGGTGGAATTGTGGAGTGAAGTCTTGCAATTCATAGTTAAAGATTCAAGCTCAAGCTTCATCCGCAAGTGTACCAAGTCAAGCTTATTGAAGATCAAGATTGCTTGTGTAACATCTAGTGTTTGAGTCTTATATTATGTCTGTTAGTACTTTAAGCTCAATCATATACACACATACATGTTTTGGTTTTGTATATAGTTATATATATACATATATGTTTTGGTTTGATAGTTTTAAGTTTTAATATGAAGCAATTGAATATAATTAGAAAAAAAAAATTTATTTTATACTTACATGCATATATATGATTTCATCATTATCAATTTTATTTAGTTCAATAAAATCATATTTACTTTTGAAATGTTTGTAAAATATGCAATTTTGTGAAAA